TTGTTCTTTTGGCCAGTATTTCTAAGATCCCTAGTTTGAATGAGTACTTTTGCAATTTCTCATTAAATCACACTGAAATTATTTCCCACTTAGAGAATCCCTACTCTGGTTTCTGGACCGCTGAGGGTACTTGGGATTTGGGGAAGTTAATGAAGGAACTAGAAGCAGATAAGGCGTGGGGCCAGCACTCTCCCAGGGAGCAGCATGCTGGATGCTGGCTGAGCCAGACAGGGCACGCGGCACTGAGGCCCTTCCTGTTCTCCCACCCTCAACTACAGTACAGAGGCCACGAATCAGGGCGTTTTCACATCACCCACATGAGCTTTCAGGTTCTAGAATCAATTGTTCAGGCTTTTGGACTTTAAGGGTTTATAAAATAAAAATAGGAATGTTCTAAAGATGTTTTTAAATCACGAAAACATTGTAGCTGGGCGCGGTGGCTCACGCCTGTAATCCTAGCACTCTGGGAGGCCGAGGCGGGCGGATTGCTCAAGGTCAAGTGTTTGAAACCAGCCTGAGCAAGAGTGAGACCCCATCTCTACCAAAAATAGAAAGAAATTAATTGACCAACTAAAAATATATATACAAAAAATTAGCCGGGCATGGTGGTGCATGCCTGTAGTCCCAGCTACTCGGGAGGCTGAGGCAGGAGGATCACTTGAGCCCAGGAGTTTGAGGTTGCTGTGAGCTAGGCTGATACCATGGCTGATACCACTCTAGCCTGGGCAACAAAGTGAGACTGTCTCAAAAAAAAAAACAAAACAAAAAAACATTGTAGATTCTAGGCCTACCCTGTATTTGTGGAGGAAGTGGGCATAAGAGTATAAATAGGGACTCCGGCCTCTCTCTGCTTCTCTCCTCACGCATGTATGTGGGACACCCCAGCTACCAGGATCCCAGCCTACCTATCATTCCTGTACTCCATCCTGGGGTGAAGGTAAAGGAGAGGACTGCACAGGCCCTGGTATCAGGCTCTGGGATGTCGGGGTACCCTGTAAATTCTGAGGGCCCAAGAAGCCAGCAGTGGTCAAGAAGCAGGTGGGAAGTGCCCGGGGGCATCCTCGCCCCCTGGAGAGGGGTGCTGCTGGAGCAGGGCCAGAGTGGGGCCCCCTAAAGCACAGGGCCCAAGAAAGAGACCCTGGTAATCCAGGTCTAAAAGCAGTATTGCTGCCTTCCATTCCAGCCAAAAGAAACCGAGCCTTTAAGACACCAAGTACCAAAAAGGCTGTTGAGGTTTTCTGCACTTCATGCATACAGCACGTGGACAATGAATTGGAGTGGGGACATCTCCCACGCAGAGCTGTTCATTGGTGCCATCATCTAACTATTTAGCAGACGGGGGTGGACACAGCTCCTCTGAATTATGAATCATCTGGAAAACAGCAAGCCTCCTGGGGCTGCCGAGCTGAGCACATTTTGGGAAGCTCATCAATTGGTTCCTAAAAAATCATCTTAATTCATAGAATTTGAAGTCTTTAAGAAGTCTACCAAGGTACATGATGGGGCAAACTTTCTCCATAGGGACAGGCCTCATGTGTCCTCTGGCCACATTTTAGCCCAGTCAGTGGAGTGGAACGTGAAGGGTGTGTCTAGGAGCTTATTCACAGGACATGAGTATCTGTGTCACCGAATGTGGTCACCGATGTGGTACCAAGGAGGCAGCCTGCCCCACCTGACACCACCGTACCAGAGGGTTTCTACTTACTGGAAGGGTTTTCAACACGCCAGAATTTCTGTCCTGATTTCTTGTGCTTAGGTCATTTCTTTTTTAAATCCCATCTGTCTTGCTCTGTGATGTCAGTCTTACTAGAAGTAGAACAAGCCCATACTAGGGAGAAAGGTATTATAAATGGTGTGCTTTATTTCTCAGAGTCTCACTGTGCAGCCTCTGGGAAACTTCCCAATCCTTAAAAGGAATCAGGGTAGAAAAGCTCCTGGAGAAAAAGACTACAAGTAAAAAGCTTCTTGGGAATTTCATGAGGTTTCGACTTCCTTCTCCTGCTGCTGTACCAAACCAAGCCTTAAATCATGTCTGTCCCATGTGGGCTGACAAGAAAGGCTTTCTTAAGCTTGAGAAAACATAAAGATTATGTGCTGTGAGTGTGGGGAGAATCAAGTTCAAGTTGCAATTACAGCAGTTGCTTGTATTCATCTTTTCAAGACCTAGGGAAGCTTCCCTGGCAAAGCAGACCTGAATGATGCTAGCTACTCCAGCAGGTTCCTGGCTACGTGCTACCAGAATGGCGATGCAGAACATCATCACATCACATAGAACATCACGTTCTACACACATGATGTACGTCATCACGCACACAGGGTCTAGGGAGGGAGCAGGAAACCGCAGCTATGCCTCTGCAAGGCTCCCTTGTCTCTCTGCTCTGTAACTGGTCTGCAGAGATCCTCCCTGGACATGTCACAGGTAAAAGAACTATGTATGAAGCAGAGGAGAGTCATGGGTTTTTAACTTGATTTTTTTCAAATGGCCAAGGGTGGTAATCTTTTAAGAATGTCAACAGAAGACAGGTGCCCCACGTCCTGCCCTGCTGCCTGCTCTACTTTTAGACCACTGGAAACGCAAGTGAAATTATGCCTAGAGCAAAGACAAACTTCCAGGTCTGGAGAGATTTAGTTCCCTTCTCTAAACGATATAAAATTCCTAATCTACCAGTTGAATATGCCTAAGTAATTTTTAAGGACAGTAAATATATAACATGGTCAGAGGGGGAGGGAGGGCAAAAATGAAAGTATGTAAAATTAGGGGGAAATTGTGTGTCTTGGTGTGAAAATTAATTCCAGACAAGAAAGCTGCAGCTGACCACACAGACCTATGCTATGCACCAGAGGGATACAAAGACAGGTATGCCCATATGTGCCTCTGATAAACTTCTAACCAATATATGACACATCAACACAACTAGTCCAACTATAATACATACTCTGTTACATCTGATTCATTTTAGTTATCTGGATATCTAGATTTGTAAGACTCTCCTTCTGTTTTAGGTATAAGATAACTCAGTTACCTAGAGTAATGGCAACATCAAATATTAAGACTGAGAGGGTATTAAAGCTCTTCTATTCGAATTCTCTTTTTTTGAGATGAGGGGATTGTGTGCCTTGTCTAATACACACAGCTAGTTAGTGGCAAGACCAAAAGTGGAACTTGAATTTCTGTACTCCTAATGAAGGGTCTTAATTTAGCCCTTGCTATCTTCCTGATGTCTTTTGAAATAATTTTTTTTTTCATTCCCCTTCACAAGCAAGAAGAGATTTATTTTGAATTGTTTTAAAGTGCTTAGTTAGAATAGAATGTTACATGCTGGCCAGGCAATGGCAGCTCATGCCTGTATCCCAGCACTTTGGGAGGCTGAAGCAGGAGGACCACTTGAGCCAAAGAGTTCAAGACAAGCCTGGGAAACATAGGAGACCTCATCTCTTCTAAAAAAATTTAGAAAATGAGCCACAGGTGCAGTGATGCACACCTGTAGTCCCAGCTACTCAGGGGGCTGAGTTGGGAGGACTGCTTGAGCCCAGGTGTTGGAGGTTACAGTGAGCTATTATCACACCACTGTACTCCAGCCCAGGTGACAGAGGGAGATTTCATCTCTAAAACATAAAAATAAAAAATAAAATTTAAAAAATAGAATGTTATATACCAAATAAAAACATACCTAATATACAGCCTGGTCTGGGGTCTCCTTCGTCAAAGGGAATAACAGATTTAGGTCATCACCACTAGAGGGCACTCAGATTTTCCCAGTTAATTTAAGGAAGCGTCTAAATACTGCCTGCAAATGAATTCTACCAACATGATTTAACAAGTAAATGATCATTTCCCCAGAATATTAAGTTGATGCAAACATACTGGTTCTGGGCACAGGTGTTCAATTATATATAAATATATATGATGTGTATACATATATATTCATACACACACACAAAAATATATGCAGATGTAGGTATACACATAAACGTTATAATTTGTATATATTTGTTATATTCTAAGCATATTTTATGTATTAATGTTAATAAATTTTTCTTATAATTAATGTCACTATTTCAGACTCAAGCCTGATGTGTTCTCAAAGGACTCCTTTATTGCTTTCAAGCAGTAGGCAGATTTTTGAAGTAAAAAATTAACTTGAAAGTCAACTTGCCTCCAGAGCACTCACACAAAGCCTACAGGGCTCCTGACCAAAACCTCCAGACCTGCAGTATTCTGAGCAAATCATGCTTGTTTGTCTTTGCATACAGCGTTTTAAAAGAGAGAAAGAGAAGAAAAGGAGAGCTTTCTCTGCTATAAAAGGAAGTGAATGCAAGCCAGTCCATTCATTTCTTTAGCCCTGTAGCTTAACAACCCTGAAGGCCTCACTCTGATGTACCAGGGAGTCCTAGAGATTTCTACTGGAGCCCGGCAAATTCTGTCTCTCCAGGGGAACTAAGCACTTTCTGGCTGTGTTATTTAAATTTGAGAAAAAGCCTATTCCATATGCTTAAAAGAAGTTAAATTAATATATAATAGTTATTATTAACTACTACCATAGCACTGTCCTGTCTGGGGAAAAAAAGACTTTTAAGAATTGTCTTTTTCAACACCTAAGTGGACATATAGGAATAGCATTTACCGGGTGTCGGGCAGGGGGGAGGGGGCAGGAGGGGATGGGTATATACAAACCCAACAAGCAAGATGTGCAACGTTTGGGGGATGGACACGCTTGAAGCTCTAAGTCGAGGGGGGAGGGGGGCATGGGCAATATACGTAACCTTAATACTCATACCCCCATAATTTGATAAAATAATAAAATAAAAAAGAATTGTCTTTTTTTAAAGCGTGGCAGGGAGGAGGAGTCGTACAACACCTGCGCCTCTGGCTGTCTTGGTGCAGCTGGCGATTAACACTCGCTTCTGCTGGGCAGAGTTCCTGCCTGAGGGCACTTACCTGACTAGGGCTGGACTGTGCTTTGCCACGTACTGTGGAAAACAGTATTGAAAAAGGATACATCCAATTCACTCTGGAAAAGAGAAGAGTACCAGGGTGAGAACAAGACACTGGGACGTGACGCTCAGCAGAGGTAGTGACTGCTCTGACCTCCAAGCCCAGAAGCAGGTAGGAGGTTTGATGCCTGAGAGTCAGAAGGCCTGCAGTTTGGGATTGCGATTTTTAAAAAAAATAGGCTGCAGTTCAGAGGGATTTTACAGGTCAGAACAATTCATCTTTAGAAAGTAGAGGGAAAAATAAACTAACTTAACCTTTACAGATGGTAGGTAATTTGACATGCGTATCAGAAACCTTAACCATGTGCCATACCCTTGAATCTGTCGATTCTAGGTCTAGAAGTTTATCCTAAGGAAATAATTGGACAATGCCACAATGACATGGGATGGGTTGTTCAGGATGATGTTTATGATAGCAAATTACTGATAATAACTTAAGCAACTGTCAACAGGGGGGACTAGATAAGTAAATTGTAGCATATCCACAAATAATGATGTAGACATACTGTTAAATAAAAAAGGTTATAAAATGTTGTGCACATTATTATCCAGGGTACATATATAGAAGATAGAGATACATATAGTTATATAGATAGAGACAGATAGAGTCTAAAAGGAAATGTACCGAACAGCTGTTATCAATAAGTGATGGGCTTACGAATGATCTTCTTCCCCCCACTTAAAAAAAAAACAACTTTATTTATTTTTTTTTAGAGCAGTCACAGGTTTACAGCAAAATTGAGCGGAAGGTACGCAGATACCCCATATACACTCTGCCCCTCCACATGCATCTCCCGCTCCCATTACCGACATCCCCACCACAGTGGTACGTTCCTTACAGATGATGAAGCTACACTGACACATCAGTATCACCCAAAGTCCATATTAGGGTTCGCTCTGGTGTTGTACGTTCTATGAGTTTGGACAAATGTATAATGGCATGTATCCATCCTCCCCTTTCGTTTTGCTTATATGTTTTAAAAATTCTTTTCAATGAAAATAGTTATGTAATGAAAAAGTCATGGAGGGAGAAAAAAGTAAACAGAATCAAGTTCAAATATGAAAGGGCTTAAGGCAGGGGTCCCCAACCTATGGTGAGTTGTATCATTATTTCATTATGTATTACAATGTAATAATAATAGAAATAAAGTGCACAAAAATGTAATGCGCTTGAATTATCCCAAAACCATGCCCCCTCCCTCCGGTCTGTGGAAAAATTGTCTTCCATGAAAATGGTCCCTGGTGCCAAAAAGGTTGGGGACTGCTGGCTTAAGGTTTGTCAAATGCAGCACGACAAAAACCCGGATATACTTGCTCAACAGCAACAGCCCTCACCTGCTGCAAACTGCCTCCTTTGAAGCTAGCTGGGTTTGCTTTTTGTTTTAAAAATATGATGCTGAGATGCTTCTCCCAGCCCAGACAGCATGAAACTGATTTCCAAATGTAAGATTTGGAAACCTCTAAGATTAAAAATAGTCACTGAAAAAAATGTTTAAAACTCACAAGCCTAAAAATAAAACTTAGATGACAAGGCATTCTCCATGAGTGGGACAGATCCTATTTTCTTTCCCATAGTACTCTTTCTCTTCGTCTTCTTTTTCTCTTTGCTATGGTTTGAACCTAAACTGAGTCATCCCTTAGTACTGTCCAAGTCCTACATAATCACCTGGCTTAAATTAAATTCTAATCTTTACTCCTGTGGTTTATGTGGTCTCTGACTCTCTCTCTAAAATTACAGCTATAATTCAGCAATGTGCTATTTATTGTTGGTTACCAAATGTAATAATAATAATTAAAAAAATCTTAGCAATGATAGTCTTGTACCCACTTTTCATTCTCCCAGGTTTAAAACATTGTTATTTTGGGAAATTACATTCTTCTTGGTGGGTGTCACCTTAAAGTGGCTAATCATGGCTAGCTCTGAATCACAGGCCTTGACTTGCAATCAGTCTGTCTTAACAAGACAGTGGTCACCATGAGAAAAGCAGGAACCAGAGCTGTCCAGTATGGTAACCACCAGCCTCATGTGGCAATTGAAATTGAAATTAATTAAAATTAAAATTTCATCTCTTCAGTTACACTAGCCACATTTCAAGTGCTCCAGAGCCACATGTGGCCAGTGCCTACTGTATTGGGCATCACAGGTACAGAACATTTCTATCAATGCAGAAAGTTTTATTGGACAGTGCTGGTCTATGGGGATTTCTCCAAGCAATCAACACAGAGACATATTTTTTTTTTATTATTTTTTTATTTTTTTATTTTTTTATTTTTTTTTTTTTGAGACAGAGTCTCACTTTGTTGCCCAGGCTAGAGTGAGTGCCGTGGCGTCAGCCTAGCTCACAGCAACCTCAAACTCCTGGGCTCCAGTGATCCTTCTGCCTCAGCCTCCCGGGTAGCTGGGACTACAGGAATGCGCCACCATGCCCGGCTAATTTTTTATATATATATCAGTTGGCCAATTAATTTCTTTCTATTTATAGTAGAGACGGGGTCTGGCTCTTGCTCAGGCTGGTTTTGAACTCCTGACCTTGAGCAATCCGCCCGCCTCGGCCTCCCAAGAGCTAGGATTATAGGCGTGAGCCACAGCGCCCGGCCTCAGAGACATATTTTAAAGCCAGTTTCAATGCCCTCTGCCCCGTCAAGGCCAGTCTCTGGAATGACCTGACCTCTTGGACCTCTTGACCTCTTCTAGCTCCGGAAAGCACCAACCCCTTCCTGGCTAGATGCATTACCACGTCACAGGCCACTAGGCACCTTCCCAGCATCAATCCTTGAATTAGGAAAAGGCTGACAGCAAGTTGCATGCTCTAAGGCAGTGGTTCCCAAACTTAAGCATGCATCAGAATCACCTGGAAGGCTTGTTTAGACATAAGATTGCTGGGCCTCAATCCAGAGTTTCTGATTCAATGATTTGGAGTTGAGCCCAATACTTGTATTTTTAACAAGTTCCCAGCTTATGCTGCTGGTCCAGGACGAGACTTTGAGAACCACTGCACTAGCACAATGAAGACAATGATGGTCCCACAAAGGAGTATGTCAAACCTCACTTCTGGCATTAGGAGTTGGGCTGAAAATATAACTTCTTAACATGAGTTTTGCTCTTAGCAGGTTTCAGTGCACTCAGTATTACTAATTATGGAGCAGATTCCACTCACTGCCTTAGGAAGAAGCTTGGAAACACTTTCTTTCTAAACCTTTTATTTAAAATCAAAATGAAATAAACAAAACAACTTTGAAAAATAATACGCTTGTGCCACTGCTACTTCCCAAGAATGTCTAACCAAGGCTCAGGAAGGCCTATGATAGCAAAGTAAAACATCGTCACTGATTTTTAAAAGAATGTTGCATTTCAAACTTACTATAAAGCTACAGTAATAAAGATGATGTGGTATTGGTGTAAGTCTATATATATCCATATATATATATTCCATATAGATCAATGGAATAGAACTGAGAGTCCAGAAATAAACCCTTAGGTTTATGGTCAATTGATTTATGGTAGGGTGCCAAGACAATTTATGGGGAAGAAAGAACAGTTTTTCAATAAATGATGTTGGGACAACTGGATATCTACATGCCAAAAGAAGGAAGTTAGACCCATACCTCACAACACATACAAATATTACTTAAAATGGATAAAAGACCTAAATGTGGGGGCTAAAATTCTAAGAGGAAAACATAAGAATAAATCTTCATGACCTTAGGTTAGGCAAAGCTTCTTTAGACATGACACCAAAAACAAACAAGAAAAGAAAAAATAGATTAACTGGGCTTTGTCAAGATTAAAAACTACTGTGTTTCAAAGGACATCAATGAGAAAGTAAAAAGAAAACAACTGAAGTAGAGAAAATATTTTCAAATCGTATATCTGATAAGGGACTTGTATTCAGAATATATAAAGAACTCTTGGGCCAGGCATGGTGGCTCACACCTGTAATCCTAACACTTTGGGAGGCCCAGGAGGGAGGATTGCTTGAGGCCAAGAGTTCAAGACCAGCCTGAGCAAGAGTGAGACCCCATTGCTACAAAAATTAGCTGGGCAGGTGGTGTGCACCAGTAGTCCCAGCTACTCGGGAGGCTGAGGCAGGAGGATCACGTAAGGCCAGGAGTTTGAGGTTGCAGTGAGCTAGGATGAAGCCACTGCCGTCCAGCTTGGGTCAAAGAGCAAGACCTTGTATCAAAAAAAACCCCCAAACCAAAAAAAGAACTCTTGTAACTCAACAACAAAGACAAATGACACAATTAAAAAATGGGTAAAGGATTTGAGCAGGTATTTCTCCCAAGAAGATACATGAATTTGACTAACAAACATATGAAAAGATGCTCAACATCCTTATCCATCACTGAAACACAAATGAAAACCAAAATTGATTGGTCTCTATAGCACTTTACACTTACTAGAATGGCTATGATAAAAAAGAAAGATATTTACAAGTTTTGGTGAGGATGTAGAGAAACTGGAACCCTCATGTACTGCTGCTGGGAATTTAAATCATGCAGACACCTTGGAAAACAGTTTGGCAGTTTATTAAAATGTTAAACATGGAGTTACCATATCACCCAGCAATTCTACTCCTAGGTATATGACCAAGAGAACTGAAAACATGGTTGTACAAAAAAACATGTACATGAATGTTCATAGCAGAATTATTTATAATAGCCCCAAACTGGAGATAACCCAAATGTCCATCAACTGATGAATGGATGAATACAATTTGGTATGTCCATACAATGGAATATTGTTTGGCAATAAAAAGGAAAGTACTGATATATGCTACAACATGGATGAATCTTGAAAATGTTATGCTAAATGAAAGAAGTCAGCCACAAAAACAAATCGCATGTACAATTCTATTTATATGAAATATCTAGAATAGACACATCTATAGAGACAGAAAGTAGATTAGGTATATATCCAAAAGAAATGAAATCAATATAAGGAAGAGATATCTGCACTCCCATGTTTATTGCCACATTATTCATAATACCTAAAATATGGGATCAGAATCAGTGC